TTGCATACAAAAAAGATTTTCTACACCTGTCCTTAGATACCAACTTCTCTGATACATTTAAAACATGATGCAGTTTTTTAACATTTGATTTTCTATGCAATCCCTTCCTCAACTCCACTTGCTCCACCTCTAGCTGCAGTCCCTTTCTCAGATTTGGCATACTCTCCTGGTATAAGGGAAGCTGAAACTGCTCCTAAATGGTAGCCAACGTGGCAACATTATGATCTGGATTTTTTGAGGAAAGCTTTAACTTCAAATATTCTGTGATTGCTGTTCCATTATCTGCAAATGTCATATCTCTCTTTATTAAATGGAATAAAGTAGTAAAATCAGGAATTTTGAAAAAATAAGTCATTTTAACTTAAGCAAAAGTAGTTTCAACAGAGTGGTACAAGCAGAAACCAGAATGCAGGGAACTAAAGATGGAGCGGGAGGTAAGTGAAAATAGTGTATGAAAAAAACACATGAGAAAGAATTTGGCAGTGAAAGGAAGGGGAGCAAAGGTAATGTATTTTTCTTTTAAACATGAGACCCCAAATCTGGATTTTAAAACAGACTCGGGTTTCTTCTGGCGATAACATACATTCTAGAGAAGTACTGGGATTTGGGAGACTTTTTCTCTTACAGGGATGATGGGACAACATTTTTGAGGAACTACCATAGAAAATCTAGGATGTCTAGTTGCTGGATTTTATCTGTCTAGCGAAAACATGGCTGTTACTGGAACAGAGGGAAGTGTGTAGGAGTAAGGCCCTCGGGCTGTTAGGAATGGATTAGAAGAAGGAGGCTAGTGGGTGCAGCTTCAAAAAAGAAGCAGTATTCCTTTTCCTTTGAAATGATAGTGAAGGCATACAGAATAGATGGAAACTTAAGTGTGTAGACATGGGTAAATCAGGCATTCTTATGAGATTTTTGATTTCAGAAAAATAGGACATGAAGTCACCTGCTGAAGCTGAGGCTTAGAGTGTAGAATGGAATGTCTTCATTTGTTCATTCATATATTCATTCAGCCAGCATGTTAAGTACCTGCCATAAACTGTGGTAAGCCTGTGGGATTTATAAACACATAGGTCTGGCCCTGGCCCGGAGTAGCCACTACTGTGTGTTTGGAAGAGAATCAAGGTAAAGGAACTGAAAGCAATTCAGAAACAACAGAAGCTATACACTGCAAATCAGTATTGGATCACCTGGATAAGGTCCCAACGGGTAAGTCCCTCCCCAGGCTTGTTGGAGGAGTTGGTGTTGTGGGCATTTTGGGAGGATCTGAGGGAGAGGGGTGATAAAAATGACACTCAAAGTGATGGCTATGGTGTTGAAGTTAGAAAAGAATTCTTGTGTGACTAAAGAGCTGACTAAAGAGCTGATGAAGTTTTACAGATAGCAAAAACGTGAGATCTTACAGTCAGGTCTTGGTGCTCAGCCTGGCATATAGTATTGAGTGAGGCTATGTGTCTTATATTGGGGGTAATATTTTGGTCTCATCCATCATTATTATCCTTAGGAAAGTCGTTTAGCCTGATCTATCTGAATCAGCCATTTCCACAAAAACAAATACACCTGCAGCATGGGCAACTTTGTGTAGTTGATAGGTTACTCTCTCCTTGCAGGTTACCTGCATCCAGATTTGTCAGAAGTTGCCCTTCTGTACCATGCTGGTTTATACTGTCTTCCATAGCAAAATCACGAAAAGCAAAAATATATATATTTGAATTATCTATACTGGATTATGATGGGACATGCATGGGCTTTGGGGACCTGCATTTGAATAATGGCTTCACTGATTAGAACAGTAGAGTGAACTTAAGCAAATCACTTTTCTATTCTGATTTTCACTTTCCCAGTTTGTGAAATATGTTCAGTAATGACTGTCTCCCAGAAATACGAGGACCCAGGACCCAGTGAGATAATCAAGGTAAAGCAGTTAACACAGTGCCTGCTTTAAATCAGTACTCATATAACATTATTGCCGTTTTTTCCCTTTTATTTGGAATAAGCATTTCATTGCTGTAAGGTTTGAAGTCTAGCACAGGTCAGTGGCTGAGCTGACACTTGTTTCTTAAAGATGTACAGGGACTCACTATAGTTTCTTAATTTTATATGATGAAGTTCATCCAAGGTCACTCCTCCTTCCCTTTTCTCTCTCATGCTTTGTGGTCTTAGGAACTGATGTTCCACTAATCATATAGCTTGGTTAGTATGTTCAAGACCCTTGGCTGCAAATGACAGGATCCCAACTGAAACTAGCTTAAGCAAAACAAAGGACTCTATTGGCTCAGATAGCTGGGAACTTCGGCACTTCTGGCACAGCTGGATCCACAAGGTTCAAACGATGTTCCCTGGGCTCTTTCTCCCAATCTCCAGTTCTGGTTTTCTCTGTGTTATAGATATTAACCTCTCAAAGTCCCAGAATCAGGTCATCATAGCATAGTGACTACAGCTTGGGGGTGGGGTCAGGAGGGAGACACGTATTTTCTTCCAGTGTTCATATACATTCAATTTAGCAATAGACTCTGATTGGCCCTACTTGGGCCCTATGCCCACCCTCAGAAGAAATGCTCTTGTGGGAGGGGTATTGGTAGAGGGACCGGGGAATTGAGAACTCTAATCTGGCCCAGCCTGTGTAACGTGCCCACCCTGGGGAGGGGTGACAGAGGCAGGGAAAAGTGATCAGTAGCCCCAATAGGTCCACAAAGAATGGCGGGAAAATGAGGGTGCTAAGCAGAAAAATAAACTACAGCTCTTCGATAAACACAGTCACCAGACATCACTCCCTTGTAGCAGAGTGATGATGTGCAGTGTGATGAAGAACACTGTGCAGTGGTGAGGTACTACTGTCTCATGGGGAAGGTAAACTAATGTGGTAAACCCTAGAAAGGTGTGGTACACAGTTGTGAGACACTGCTGCTGAGGGACACTGTGATGAGGGGCAGTGTGGCCACATACATGCCAGAGAGCTCAGCCTCACCTTCTATTGCTGCTCCTCTTCCCCATCCAGTCTTCCATGACTGCCAACTTCCAGGCCTGTGCTCTTTTCTCTGCATTGTACCTGGGCCTCCCTCCACACACCCGGCTATTTCTCACTGATCACCTTTCTTAAGCCAGTCCCTGCAGCTGAGTGCTTTTAATACCCTGCTTTGGGGTAAAATACAATACTGATCACACTGTATTATAGCACTGGGCATTTAATAGCAGCCTGATGGATGAAGGGGTGAGAAAATATTACTGACAAGGTGAATAGAGCAAATAACTGAACTCATCTTCACATTTAACAAATATTTATTAACACAGAAATGAGTAAGGCTTGGCCCCCTGGTCTCAGATGCTCAGTGCAGAGGGGCAGACAATCACAAAGCTACAATAAAATCACAGTAGAATAAGTACTATCACCGAGGTATGGACAAAATACTTTGGAGGCACAGTGAGAGGAATAAAGAGGGCGAGGGAGGAACAATTTTCTCATTTATACCTGCCTTGAGCATTCAGGGAAGGCTACAGAGAAGTCATCTGTGAGTTGGGTCTTGAAGGAGGAGTAAAAGCCACCAGGTGAATAGTCAAAGAAGGAGCCCTGCAGGCTGGGGCTCAGAGATGTAGGTAAGGTTAGGTAAGTGAGGGGTTCAGGGAACTAGGCATGAGTGATAAAAAAAAAAGGAAATAAAGAGGGAATAACGAATGAGCAGAAGGACTGCAAGCACAAGCCCATAGCTCTACTGTGGAAATTAAAGGTCTTGTTTCCCCTTGGAAGGGGAAGAGGGAAAAAGGAAGGTGGGAGGGCCTCAGATATGGGTCCCTGCCACTTCCTCAGTCAGGCCATGGGGCTCAAATACCAAAGCCAGAGTTTCACAGCTGTGATCTAACTTCCCTAAGTCACCAAATTATCAAGCCCCTTTTCAGAAGCTAAGAATTTGTATGAATAATGCAGTTCTAAATGGAAAAGTCCCTAATGTTTTCATTTTTCTCAGATGAATTGATTCTGCCTAGGAAGTAATTCGACTTCCTTCAGGATATGAGATGGGGCATGGAATCTCAAGAGAGAAAGGTGGGTTAGTTAGTGTTTAGGCCTTGCAGCCATCTCACAATTGGATGGTAAGATAATGATTAAAATGTCTATTTCCTTTTGCAAAGTATATTGATATATCAACATAAAGTTCAAAAAATATATATACTCACACACCGCTGTCTTGTTATTCCTGTCTCCTCCATTTCTTTCATACCCGTCTGTATTTTAATATGCTTAAATAAAAAAATAGAACTTCTTAAACTTTTAATTTTAATAATTTTTTTCTGCTTGAATCTTTTACATTTTTTCATTTGTCAATTTTTATGTAACTTTTTTTAAGTTTAAATTTTTAAATCTTTATTTAAATATTTAAAGTTTTCATTTAAATCTCTTGAATTGAACTTATCTAAGGTTTTTTTTATTTCACAAGTCTCTATTTTCTTCCTATATTTTTTCAATTTTTGTCTTTAAACAAATTTTGTCTTTTTGTATTGAATTATTCTAAACTTTCCTCTTTTAAAACTTTTCTCTAAAATTGAATTGCATTCCATTCTGTATTTTCGAAAATTTATTTCTTAATCATTATAGTAGTAATTTTGTTAACACTTTTTAAATATGTATATTTTATGCTTTAATTTTGAAATATCTATTTATATTATTTTCCTTCATTTGAAACTTTTAAGATGTTCTTTTGTTTCTAACTTTAATTTTTAACAGTATTTTCTTCCTTTTTTTGGTAAACTTTCATTTTTAACCTTGTTCCTTATTTTACATTTTTAAACTTTAAGAATTTAATTTGCTTTTAATTTTTAAAATTCTGAAACTTCTTTAAATTAAAAAATTATTTTTAACTTTTAAAATATTTATTTAAAAAATATCAACTTAAATTTTTTTCAACATTTAAAATTTTTTTCTTTTAAAACCTTAAAAATGATTTTTCCTTTTTAAATGTTTTTCTTTTAAAGCTTTTTAAACTTTATTTTAAAATATTATTTTTCTTTCAAACTATTTGGCTAGTCAGCCACAGCTGGAACACCAATTGTGAAGTTTTTGCTGATAAAGGAATACTCCCTGACTTCACAAGATATTTATGTAGAAACAAATGACATAGTAGCATCAGAACACCTCTACTCCCATTGTCCCCACCTAAAGCATTCTTTTCATTTCATTATGCTTTATGTGACCATTTTCAACCTCTTCTCCCTCTCCCCATTTCTTAAGGTTGAATGGTCACTGGTTAGTATTCATTTTTTTTCTTCCTACAGACCCATGGGCCATGCTAAAATAGGTTCTTTACATCAAGATACTAGCTGTCATATAGGTGTTATTGTCACTGTCCATTCCAAGTAGGTCTGTGTGTCACTTCAAAATCCTTGCCTAATCATTTACTTTTTTTCAGTAAGTGGTCTGGTAAGACTAGTCTTTCTCTAGACCCTGTTTGTGATAGAAGAGTAAATACCCTTCACTGTAAAGTAAGTCCTCAATGGTAGCCTTGGTGATGATGGCATCATCACAGCTGAACCACTGGTCCTTTTGTTGCCGGATAAAGCTGGTATAGTGGCCACTTTCCAAAGTTCCATGGTGATTAATCACTGCAAACAAGGAATACTTATTCTCATTGGGCACACAATCTGCTGGTGGCTGGCCTTCTTTCATTCTGCTCTCTTTAGTGGAGGCCAAAAACGGAGTCATGTCCAGCTCCAAGGGAAAGGAGATAAAGGTATTAATCTTTCGCCTCTGTTTGCCTACATGCTCAAACCGCTTGAGATGAAAACAAGCCACAATGGGTAATTTTTTCATTGTAAGCTGTTTAGTAGACTCCTGGTAGCTTTGGCAACTATTGCATTTGATTTTGGCACTGCTTCCTAGGTGCTCTGGCCTTGTAAACCACTGTAGGCAGTCTGTAAGTGAGGGGATTCCTGGTATGTGGTCATCCCTGCTCACTGTGCCATCAGCCCTCTCTGGGTTCTGGGAATCGAATGTGGCACAAGAGCCAGGCAAGTCCAAACTGATGTCCCAGCATGGGTCTATGGTGGTGGAAACACTATGGCAGGCTTGACATGTGACATCTGATTGCAGGCCACCTGTAAAGATTTGGTCTATGATGCAGTTACAGCAGTTGGGGTTATTGGCCTCCTGCACACCACTATCATCTTTGCTGTGTCTATGCAGCACATCTAATATTGCAATAAGGAACTCATGGGCATCCTGCTGCCTGTACCCTGCTAAATGTTCTGCATGGATCCATATCAGATGCAGTAACTTATAGGGAATGTGAGGAGTTCGGCTCCCAGAGTACATAGCATGAAAAAGCGAAGACATTTCACAGACCAGACACAAGCTGGGGCTTGTCATTATACATTTGTGCTTGTCAGAGAGGAAGAAATCTTTCAGTAGAGGAATATGGGTAAGTGCCTGGACAATACAATTCATAAAACAAGTGTTCCCAAGATTGATTAGCCCTCTCAGGCCTACAGTATAGACTGACTTTTTTCTTCTCTTTTTCTTGGGTTTCACCAATTTTGGCTCCTGTTCTTTTGTCTCACAGGTTGATTGCTTGTCTTCAGTCCCTGATGTCATAAACTGTTGATGAGAAACATCTGTTGAGGTGGAAGTTAATCTCAAAATTTTTTCTTTTGTTTCTTTGGCAATCTGTTCTATGTCTTTGTCATATACATAATCCTTACACATGAAGCAATATATGACCCCATGATAAACGTCTACAGCTAAATGGTGCTGCTTTGTTTCTGCATGTTTGTGAATATGTTTCTCAGTGAAGCAGCCAAAAAAGACACAGGAGAGACAAGAGTGGAGTCTATTCATATGGGTACTACATACATGACAGATGCATGACTTTGCTTTACGTTTCCTAGTCTCTGGGGTCCCACTCCAAACGAAACGCTGGTAGATCAGCCTCAGGTTCTTCTGCCAGTTCTTACCTACTTTAAAGCTCTCCACATGAGAGCAGCCTGTGGGACCCTGACCAAAGTCGACCTCCAGCAACCAGTCCCCTAAGCCGCCAGGATCCCCCGACCCGTCTAGGTCACCAGAGCAGCTTCTCCGTGTCTGAGGCCTGGACCCAGGTCGGGATCTGCGCCGGGATCCACGCCAGGCCCTGGGCCGCGGTGCGGATGGGGGCGG